TTTTTTTTAACTGAATGAGAAGAAATGTAAGGCCAAATATCCTCACAAACAACGCTTAAGTGAAATCAGTTTGCAACTAAGCAGTTCGAAAATTTTGCAACACGTCTGGAGAAAGACGTTCCTCGTGACGCTGTAATTCACTAGAGTAAAACGTCCGTTTATTATGTTTGTTTTTGCATAATAACTGCTATACATACCGTAGAAGCACCTTCCTTTTTGTCATCGCCGCTGACAACATGCGCCATTCTCTGCGGCTTCGGCCGCATGCTTGGCCACAAGTCACCGAAATCGGGATACATAGCCTTATTTATGAATCAGTAGTAGGTAAACGTTGCAGAAGTGTATGTATATTGTTCATTGTCAATGCTGCTTAAACAACATGCCTAACATTAAGTCAACACTCGCCTGCATTTTCGTCTTTTCCGCTTCGCGTTGCGAATGATGTCTAGGCCTACACAAAACGAAAGTAAAATGTGCGCATGTCTAAATGTAAGGGAGATCACTCGTGTTTTCCCGCAGTATATGTCTGAAATCATTCCGAAGGTGTTGTTGTTTTTGTGTATATTGAAATAAAAGAGTCCTGTTATATGGTAATACTTCAATAAACGAAAAACACAAATCACACCAACAGACATATAAAATGTAGGCCTATCGGAGCATATTTTCGTTTCTGGCTGAGCTGTAATTAGCGAGAAGGCGATATAAAAATGCAATAGCATATCTTATGATGAAAATAGAACAAAATGATAATACTGCGAAGGTAAAAAAAGCCTTCAGGTTAGAATACCAATATGGAACTAGAGAAGGACAGTGGCTAGTTCTAACATGATTCCCGGTCTCATCTGCCCCGGCCGGTTGATCCCATTTTAGTTAGGCAAGCCTGGTGTGAATCACACGGAGGCGATTTTAGAATTAATTGACAGGATCCGTATCCATTAATAGGTTTGTAATATGAACTTTTTATGTTGATCTCCTACATAATTGTAAGTTATACTCCGCCTTATATTTCGTTAAATTATCAAGTTTACGTAACAAGTGCAAGCGAAATCCTAATTGACTGCCATGTTGGAAACTTCCTCAATCTTTCCGATATAGGTCAGACGTCTAAATATGGGTGTCATGACCAAATATGGAAATTGTAGTAAACATGACCGCATCAGTAGTAATACTATATTTGGCCGTGAAGGCCATATAAGGAAACGGATAACATCACGCGTGATCTAACATGGCCGTCGTTTCTTTTTTTAGAGTTTTTAGTAAGGATTTGTTATTTTAACGATGAACGAATATGCAATATTTTGATAACATTATAATCATATGAAGCGTGAATCAGATATATTATTACTGATTAGCACTTTTGATTATCCTCAGTTAGTTGGAACAGGACCGCTTCATAGCTCTGACCACGCAATATATAATTGTAAACAGGGACGTAAATGTCACCAATTTTAGCCAATCACAGGACAATATTTCCGTGTAAAGGGTTAATCCAGCGACAGTTCCAAGAGTAAATACGAAGTTTTAGAAGGATACTTAGTTCTAACTAAGAATAAGATTATATCCAATGACGTTTGAGTGAACTTGAGTCCGTGGTAATGGATTTTATTTGCAGTTTGTTTAGTATTACTAGAAGGTGACGTTATGTCTCGTTTATGAATATCTGAGCTCATTAACTGAAGTATTTTTACCGGAAGTTGCGTGTAGCATGCATGACCTACATTCAAGTAGCAGTTCCCGATTGAGATAAACAGGGTGCATTTTCAATAAGAATACGACGTTGTGATAAGATCATATGTTCTATAAAGAAAAGTAATGATATTTACAAGCCATTCAAGTGCATTTGAGTCCAAAGTTACGCATAATAAAGACAGTAGGTCCGGTATATGATTCAATTTAGTACCAGTGACTACCGCTAGAGGCCGTCTGTGTGAAATCGACATTTATGAATATCTGAGCTCATTAACTAAAGTAATACCAATAGCTGGCGGCTCACGCCTTAGCTAAAAATGCTTTGGATATTATTAAACAAAGACTTTTTGATTGTTGTGTACAAGAAATAAGGAATCGTATAGCTGAATCGACCAAATGTAGTATGTATAAACACCTAGTATATGCACAAAGTTTTGATATGAACATTTATCTCGGGAAACCTATCCAATTCAAGTACAGAAAAGTCATTACGAAACTCAGAATGTCCAGTCACCAGTTAGAAATTGAGCAAGGTAGATATATAAATGTACCAAGGAACTTAAGAATCTGTGAATTATGCAATTTAAATATTGAGGACGAATACCACTTTGTGCTTAAATGTCCATCTTTTCAGATACTTAGACATAGTATTGAAAAAATGATGTACATTCATTCAAATACATATGTACTTATTTTATAACTAGTACATCATTCATTCAAAATACATGCCACTTATTGGTTTACACATACAAACTGCCGCCCTGGTAAGCATGTATTGAATATGTATGGTTGCAGTAATATCCTGTACCTATAAGTTGTAAACTTTTGGAAAATAAAATGAACAATGAACTATTATAGCAGGCCAAAACTAGTCAAATTCCTATACCAGAAAAAGAAACCTTCATCCCAGAATGATGTGGTCTGGATTCAGTCCTTAAACTTATTAACTGTAAATAGACAGGGTGGGATTTTCATGCATTTAAATCATGAATGTGTATCTTGTGAGATAATCAATATTTTGAAAATGTAAAATCCTAAAAACAGACATACATGATTTTTCATTGTTTGGTCTCTCTCATTTTCACCTCCATTGTATTGGAAATCAGAGTTTAATTTTCACTGCATCATAACAGTAAGATTTGATACACAACAACAAAGTCTCATATCTAATCTCTAAATAATGAGTCAAAAAACGGTTTCCTTTAAGGATACTTTTACCACTTCCAACAAAAAAATGCTTCTCTGATTTGGAAAATATTACCCAGTAATGAATTGATAAAAGTTTTAAGTATAGCACTTCTGAAAAGAAACTCATGCCTTGCAGAACATTTAATTTATTAATAAAATTATAATCCGAAAAAAACACCAACATCAGTGTTCTGGGATCAAAAATGCAGAAGGCCCACAGTACTTAAAACACAATATGGTTACTATATATGATCTATTCAAATGAGCTACAGCTGCTATAATAAGAATTTAAGAAAGCAAAAACTTAAAAGAATTTTGGAAAAAAATACACTGCAGTTCTTAAACTAAGCTTTATGTTAAAAGTGTTTCAAAAATTTAAGAATTAAAATTCAAACTCATTTTTTTTTGCCAACATTAATTTGTACCAAGGTTGATAAGGATGACAGTTAACATACTGATGAAACTTTAAAAACTGAAAACCAATATGAAATACAAAAAAATGCATGGTAACAAGTGTTGATTGAAATGTTCTCCATAACCGGGCGGACCAGTTCTGGTAATTCAATTACCTGTACAGTGGCGGATCCAGAGGTTTTTTTTGGGCTTTAGGAAACCCCCCCGGCACCCTGAGAATTTTCTTTAAAAATCATGTATTTTCACCATTTTCCTCAATTTTTCCCCCCTTGGAACCCCGCCCAGGGAATTTGGAACCCCCCCAGATAGGTCTCTGGATCCGCCACTGCTGTAGCTATATATATATATACCAGTGACTTTTTTATTTTCATGGTGTAAAACAGTTTAAGTTAGTTTCCAATACAGGATCCGGTAGAGCTCCTCTACACTTGACTTAAAATTATAAATAAATTTAAAGTTCATTGTTATATAATAACATTTGCCATTTAATTATTATAGATATAAAAAAGTTTCAAAGGCATCACAAATTTATTAACTTCAATGGCAAAACAAATTACTTCAAGAAATTGCAGTTAAAAACTGATACAAAAAAACCCATTTAAAACGGTTGCTAGTGAATTAATTAGGACCACCTTGAGCAGTGGCGGATCCAGAGGAAATTTTTGGGCTTCAAGAAACCCCCACCCTGATAATCTGTACGTGTGTAGTACTACATTGTAGTACTGTAGTTGCACGTTGTGCAAAGCTGAAAGATAAGACAAGTGCCCGTGTCTAACCTGACACAGCACGTGCGTTCTGCTGTTGTTGTTTTTACTTTCTTTAATCTACAATAATTTTCCTGTTATACACAGTAACTGAATAATACCTACCTGAGTCTCCCATATCTGTACTGTGCCGACGTCGTACGCGTACATCCACAAAGTGAGATCCACTGTTAGGCCTAACATAAGCTGTCTGCTACGCCTAATCTAGGTGACGTACCGGAAAGACCCGAGTGCTCCTTCGCCTGATTCCGATGTCTGGTCACAGCCAATGAAATTTAACAAAATAAGTTCCGTCATCAGCAGCAATGGCAGCGCACATGGCGAAAAGCATGGCACCGAAGAAAAGGTATTTAATTTGCTTTTTGTTTTTCTGTCGCTGTTAACAGCAGGCAAAGTAATGTTATTTGGGTGAAACAGTCTAATGCTACTGCCATAACAGCTAAATAACGTTCTTATTTTGTGAACAAAATCGATTACAATCAATTCACATGGTGTTGTTGACATATTGGTTTGACGCTCAAGTTATATCACGGAATTAGATTGTCTTAAGTCCGTCGTAGGGTACAGTAAAGCTATTTTATTTACATCAGAATATTCCCTAAAATATGTATTAACTAACATTTTAGCCAATGCTAGCAATGCCCTTGGTGATCTGACAGTAGGCCTACTACACTACAACTGACGTGCATCGCAAGATCTCATAAAATATCAACTTGATTTGATTGTTACATTATATATAAATGATTGAACGAGTTATTTTATCAGGTAATACAATCACGTTGTGTACTTGTCATAAATAACTCTACAGAGATAATGTCAATACGTTTTGAACATAGCAATCTGGATCCTGACTTTTAATTCTTCTATCTGCCTCAGTTTAGTAATTGTTTAAAAATCTATTAAATCAGATGGCATATCTCGAACAATTCAAGCATGTCTTTAACTTAATACGATATACAACACATGGATTTCAATCAATAGATCTTAATGCAGTGGCGGATCCAGAGGTTTTTTTTGGGCTTCAGGAACCCCCCCACCTTAGAATTTTCTTTAAAAATCATGTATTTTCACAATTTTCCTCAATTTTTCCCCACATGGAAACCCCCCCAGAAAATTTGGAACCCCCCCCCCCCCAGATAGGTCTCTGGATCCGCCACTGTAATGGTTAAGAATATTTATTTCAGTCCAGTAGCTTATTTTAAATTATTTGTTAATACAGCAGTTGCGACTTGCCAGCAGGGTTTAGAATTTAACTATACCTTCGGTTATACCCCTTTGAAGCATAGAAAATAACACAGATCCCATAAGAATCATCATTCAAATAGTAAAGAAGAACCAAATTTAATCTGAAACTAATTAATCACATTTATAAAATATCCAGCACAAACCAATGAAACCATAATTAGTGCTAAACTTCTGATGACAACACACAGGCCATTGATCTGAGGTAACTAAATCTTAAATGGACCAAAAATATATGATAACTTATGATTATACAGTTGTTTATGTAACAGCAGAGAAACAATATCTCGAAGAGTGGACTTCCTGGATACCAACACTTCCCAAACATCTCCAAAGTTTACGAAACATTGGCTGATCGTGATAAGCTGCTGAAATCCACTTTACACAGTATTTTATTAATTGAGGTCAAAGGTCAAATTGAGGTCTCTGTGACCTCAATTTAGGAAGTGAGACACTGCCTTTCTGTGATCTATACATATACCTTATAGGCTAAATATATATACGAAGTTTTATAATAACCATTCATGAAACAACAGGTGAAAATATATGCTCCGAATATCAATATTTCAGTACTTGAGGCCAAGGTCAAAGGTCAAATAAGCCACAGTGACTTTGTTGTGGATGAGATATGCTCTGGAAACCACAGTAAGCACAGATGGATGGTTGCAAAGCAAATACTGTATACAACCAATATACCCCTAACTGCAGTTAAAAGGGATGTGTGAAAATAACATGTCTGTATCGAGAAGAGAAAAATGCACGGCCAGACCAGGATTTAAACTCAGAACTTACGAAATCTAGACAGACAATCTAAACAGTTGAGCTACGTATACCTGGTCACCAGCGAATGACCCAGTCCAAGTAAGAGAGTAGTGTGTTTTCACTGATGAGCAGCCATGAATCATCAACCTCCAGCTTCTCAGTCTGATGGTCTCCAAATTGAGCTTTAGGGAAATTCCTTCCTAGAGCATAGCCAGAAGGTGAATGGATCTGTTTACTGTGATTGAAACCTGCTACATCATGTGGATTATAGTCTCTAGTCAGGCAAGCTGAACTCTGTAGTCAACAATCAGCTTAGTTCAAATACAGGATAGATTTGAACACCTAAGTTCATTGTGAACTTTAAGTAAATAAACAATTGCATTATGTATATACTTACATTGAAACTACTTTACATTTCAGAAAACTGAAAGACATGAGTGTGGATGAATTCATGAAGAGTGGATTTGATTCAGACAGCAGTGATGAAAGCTCAGAGCCAGAAATTCCCAAAAAGAAAAAAATTGTGAAGAGGTTGGTATTGTGTATAGATTTATATATGTAGCATTCATTTGTGAAGCATCAGCCTGTTCATATATTTGGAACCCCGTTTCTAATGTTGTTTTTATAGTGTGTCCATTTGACCAATTTTTGCGGAGAACCAAATGTGCTTCATCATTTCCCTAGATACCAATACAGGATTGAGGAAGAGAAACTCAGCCTTCAAAAACATTCCAAAAACTGAAGTTTGAATATTTTTCTTAACAACTAATTAAAACCTTTTTTTAAGTACATTGCCAGCTTAAATCAGATCTAGACAGACAAATTTGGTTGAGAGGTAATTCTGATAAATGTGAAAAAGTATTGTCAATTTGTGTTCTCACAACCTAGCTGTCTTCTTTACTAAGAATATTTCAATAAATGCATTCAGATCTGATAAGTAGCAGTGTTAAGTTCAGGAAGAGTTACCTCCCATGGACAGTAAAGAAAAGATGTCGGCCAACACTGCGGACAACGTTGCATCCTTTTTCTTAGGGTTCCTTAAGCTTCAGCTAATTCCAGTAGATTCGACTACACCGTTAAAATCCTATTCATGATCACGACACACATAACACCTCCATAAACACAAAAAAAAACAAAAAAAAAACAACAACAGTACTTTGATTTACAGGGAAATGAATAGACGACTATTGGAATACATTAACAGAGCTTATCTGGACCACTGACACTTTCGTTATTAACTCATTCATCCCTAAAGACATATTTGAACTACTCCAATTCGAAGGTTGGAATAGTACATTATGAAAATTCAGGGGTGAATGAGTTAATAATATTTAAGTGAATTTTTTATGTTAACGGTGGAATAAGGTTACTATTAAAGAAATATTAGTTAAAACCATGTAAATCAACTAAAATCAGTTGCTTATTATGATGCTATAAAAAGGTTTAAAGTGTTTAACTGTATAAGAGCTCAATCATGTGTCCTGTATTAATTATATTGATTTGAATGATTCCAATAATTTGATGTTTCTATAGATTCAGTATCATCCATTAGCTCGTTATTGAAACAGAATAATTGTTCAGTTTTTATTGACTTTTTTTCAGTAAAAAGTCTGAATTGACAGCTGCCTCTAAGCACAAACAATCCCTGGAAAAGCTTGAGAAGTTAGACCCAGAGTTTTACAAATTCTTAAAGAATGAAGATAAATCACTACTCAATTTTGATGGCAATGACGAAGATGATGATGAAGACGATGATGAAGACGATGATGATGACAATGAAGAGGAGGAATATTCAGGTAACTAGTAATCTAAAAAGATATTGATGTGTGGTGGAAACTTATTTTCAGCATTCTGAGCCATAAATAAAAACACTATTAAAGGACATACATGTTACTGTTAAAAACTAAGGATTTTCGTCTTCAATGCCGGGTTTTTACAAGTCAAGATCTTTTTCAAAAAATTGAACGTCAGAGTATTAGTTCCCTAATTCATAGTTTTCTCTTAAATTCTATCGTGTCTTTTAAAATTCTTCCGAATTTTTTTTAAGTGTCCATCACAATTACACTCCTCAGTTCTGGGATCTGCCTGAGCATGAATTTATGGCAATCTCTACAGGATTTTTCTTTTTCTTTCCTAAATCTTGCTGTTTAGTATCTACATGTAAATACGAAGATTAATTATACAGTCATTTACATGTATTTAGTCTTCATGAAATGTCTTTATACACTCAGTGAAGAATTGTGTATGCTTCTAGGATGTATACTGTTATGGTGCTGTTCTTAGACACATAGGTTAACAGAGAACATTGAAAAGTTTCTGTTGTGCTTATAATTATATAGATACATCAGAGGAGGATGTAAAACAAAGTCCTCAAAAATCTTCTGGAAAGAAGTCAAAAGTGGAGCTTGACCTTGATGACCTTGATAACTACAGCACAGATGAGGAGGAGGAGGAGGAGGACTCAAGTGATGAGGAAGATACAGGCAAAGGGCGCTTGCATAAATTACCAAAAAAACTTGAGGTATATACATTTTGTCTTTCCCCTGAACAAAATCCATGAATAAGAAATACTCTGGCCAAATACTACTACATTGACTGTTATAAAGGTTTTATTTGTTTTGGAGTTTATTTACCTACTAATCAAATTCTTCTACTCGTTAAACAGGTTGCCAGTGATGAGAGTGAGGAGGAGGAGGAGGAAGCAGAAGAAGCAGAAGAGGAGAGCACAGATACCGTCCCAACAGTAAAGAAACATAGAAAGGGAACATTAGTCACACCTAGGTTGATAAAGAATTGGTCCAGAAGTTTAGAGGTAATTCCTATATAGTCCAAAGTGTGTCATGTTTTGCTTTTATTAAGTCTACTTCTTCCACTGTGCAATTTTGTCCGACACATTTCTCAAAAAAAAATGATGGAAATTAATGAAACTTTACACAAGTGTTCATCATGGTAAGGATGTGTGCAAATGACCTTTCAATTTCCGATCGTTCGACAATGATGGCTGCCACGGCCTCTGATTGGTTAGGTGTATTTTTGCATCTTTGCGACTAGTTTGGGGTACTTCTGTAATAGTCCCCCATTACCACTAGTACTTGTTTCTTTTGTTTTAAGAAAGAAATTTGCTAATGTAAATAAGATGGATTCACTATTTCAATGGATCTAATTTAGTTATATAGTTGGTCCTAATGTATGCATAATATAGTGAGTAAAAGGATTTATCAAAACTACCATAAACAAATACACATACATGTTGGTGTTCTCTAGTTACAGATTCTCTGGTAAAAAAATCATTTGAACATGGTCTGGATAAGTGTGTGTAAAATTGCCAAAACAACCCAACAAACATACTACAGCAACAATAAAAATAACGTAACTGCTACAGCAATTTAATTACCAAAATATCTATATGTGTCTTTAAAACACTTGTTTCTTTTGTAGACAAAACCGACTATGGCAGTACTAAAGGAAGTGATAGCTGCAATGAAAGCTGCAGTATTACAGGCAGGTGGAGAGGGGAAGGCCAATAAATATGTTGTCAAGGGTAGCGACGGTAAGTTACAGGTAGATAGAGAGGGGAAGGCCAATAAATATGTTGTCAAGGGTAGCGACGGTAAGTTACAGCTAGATAGAGAGGGGAAGGCCAATAAACATGTTGCCAAGGGTAGTGACAGTAAGTTACAGGTAGATAGAGAGGGGAAGGCCAATAAACATGTTGCCAAGGGTAGTGACAGTAAGTTACAGGTAGATAGAGAGGGGAAGGCCAATAAATATGTTGTCAAGGGTAGCGATGGTAAGTTACAGGTAGATAGAGAGGGGAAGGAAAATAAATATGTTGTCAAGGGTAGCAACGGTAAGTTACAGGTAGGTTGAGAGGGGAAGGCCAATACATATATTGTCAAGGGTAGCGACGGTAAGTTACAGGTAGATAGAGAGGGGAAGGCCAATAAATATGTTGTCAAGGGTAGTGATGGTAAGTTACAGGAAGATAGAGAGGGGAAGACCAATAAATATGTTGTCAAGGGTAGCGACGGTAAGTTACAGCTAGATAGAGAGGGGAAGGCCAATAAATATGTTGTCAAGGGTAGTGATGGTAAGTTACAGGTAGATAGAGAGGGGAAGGCCAATAAATATATTGTCAAGGGTAGCGACGGTAAGTTACAGGGAGATAGAGAGGGGAAGGCCAATAAATATGTTGTCAAGGGTAGTGACGTTAAGTTACAGGTAGATAGAGAGAGGAAGGCCAATTAATAGGTTGTCAAGGGTAGCGACGATAAGTTACAGGTAGATGGAGGGGGAAGGCCAATAAAGATGTTGTCAAGGGTAGCGACGGTAAGTTACAGGTAGATAGAGAGGGGAAGGCCAATAAATATGTTGTCAAGGGTAGCGACGGCAAGTTACAGGTAGATAGAGAGGGGAAGGCCAATAAATATGTTGTCAAGGGTAGAGACGATAAGTTACAGGTAGATGGAGGGGGAAGGCCAATAAAGATGTTGTCAAGGGTAGCGATGGTAAGTTACAGGTAGATAGAGAGGGGGAGGCCAATAAATATGTTGTCAAGGGTAGCGACGGCAAGTTACAGGTAGATAGAGAGGGGAAGGCCAATGAATATGTTGTCAAGGGTAGCGACGGTAAGTTACAGGTAGGTTGAGAGGGTAAGGCCAATACATATGTTGTCAAGGGTAGCGACGGTAAGTTACAGGTAGGTTGAGAGGGTAAGGCCAATACATATGTTGTCAAGGGTAGCGACGGTAAGTTACAGGTAGATAGAGATGGGAAGGCCAATAAATATGTTGTCAAGGATAGCGATGGTAAGTTACAGGTAGATAGAGAGGGGAAGGCCAATAAATATGTTGTCAAGGGTAGCGATGGTAAGTTACAGGTAGATAGAGAGAGGAAGGCCAATGAATATGTTGTCAAGGGTAGCGACGGTAAGTTACATGTAGATAGAGAGGGGAAGCCCAATACATATGTTGTCAAGGGTAGCGACGGTAAGTTACAGGTAGGTAGAGGGGGGAAGACCAATACATATGTTGTCCAGGGTAGCGATGGTAAGTTACAGGAAGATAGAGAGGGGAAGACCAATACATATGTTGTCCAGGGTAGCGATGGTAAGTTACAGGAAGATAGAGAGGGGAAGGCCAATAAACATGTTGTCAAGGGTAGCGACAGTAAGTTACAGGTAGATGGAGAGGGGAAGGCCAATAAATATGTTGTCAAGGGTAGCGTTGGTAAGTTACAGGTAGATAGAGAGGGGAAGACCAAATAAACATGTTGTCAAGGGTAGCGATGGTAAGTCACAGGTAGATAGAGAGGGGAAGGCCAATAAACATGTTGTCAAGGGTAGCGACGGTAAGTTACAGGTAGGTGGAGAGGGGAAGGCCAATAAATAGGTTGTCAAGGGTAGCGACGGTAAGTTACAGGTAGGTGGAGAGGGGAAGGCCAATAAATAGGTTGTCAAGGGTAGCGACGGTAAGTTACAGGTAGGTGGAGAGGGGAAGGCCAATAAATAGGTTGTCAAGGGTAGCGACGGTAAGTTACAGGTAGGTAGAGAGGGGAAGGCCAATAAATATGTTGTCATGGGGACGGTAAGTTACAGGTAGGTGGAGAGGGGAAGGCCAATAAATAGGTTGTCAAGGGTAGCGACGGTAAGTTACAGGTAGGTTGAGAGGGGGAGGCCAATACATATGTTGTCAAGGGTAGCGACGGTAAGTTAAAGGTAGGTGGAGAGGGGAAGGCCAATAAACATGTTGTCAAGGGTAGCGACGGTAAGTTACAGGTAGGTGGAGAGGGGAAGGCCAACAAATATGTTGTCAAGGGTAGCGACGGTAAGTTAAAGGTAGGTGGAGAGGGGAAGGCCAATAAACATGTTGTCAAGGGAAGCGACGGTAAGTTACAGGTAGATAGAGAGGGGAAGGCCAATAAATATGTTGTCATGGGGACGGTAAGTTACAGGTAGGTGGAGAGGGGAAGGCCAATAAATATGTTGTCAAGGGTAGCGACGGTAAGTTACAGGTAGGTAGAGAGGGGAAGGCCAATAAACATGTTGTCAAGGGTAGTGACGGTAAGTTACAGGTAGATAGAGAGGGGAAGGCAAATAAACATGTTGTAAAGGGAAGCGACGGTAAGTTACAGGTAGATAGAGAGGGGAAGGCCAATAACCATGTTGTCAAGGGTAGCGATGGTAAGTCACAGGTAGATAGAGAGGGGAAGGAAAATAAACATGTTGTCAAGGGTAGCGACGGTAAGTTACAGGTAGATAGAGGGGGAAGGCCAATAAACATGTTGTCAAAGGTAGCCACAGGTACCTAAGTTACAGGCTTTGTGATGAGTAACATACAAGGCAGGTGACAATAAGAACAAGCTTGCCTCATATAAGTAACATTTCAATCTCCCTGATGATAGACATTCAGTAGAATTACTGCAGCTTTGAAGCATGTATGCTCTTTAGTTTATGGTTGTAAGGTAGGGCAGTTGAGAGCATATACACCTTTCACAAAGATGGCCTAGGTGGGATATTGATCAGACAAGAAATGGTATGGGGCTACCAACTCAACCACATGGGTTTTCTCCGAGTACTCTGTTTTTATCCCCCGCTTTCACCGAAACTGTCTGTCTGTCTGTGTTAAATGCCTTAAGGGCTCGGCCAAGTTCGATGACCACTTTCAGCGGACCCAATTTGGCAGAGTTATGGCCCCTTGAATGATGAAAAACATCATAATCTGCCGTTTTTGTTCATTTACTCTTGCAAATATTATCTGGTTGTCTTTAAACTGAGTTACAGGGTTCAACACATTAAGGACTCAGCCAAGTTTGACAAACACTTTAATTGGACTCCATTTGGCAGAGTTATGGCCCCTTGATTAACAAAAAACGTCATTATCTGCAGTTTCCACTTAATAACTCTAGCAAATATTAGCCAAATTAGATACTGTTCAGATGCTTCAACCAAATTCCGTATGCACCTCCGACTCATGCTAAGTTTGCCAACCAATGTGATTTATGCATATTTACGGATAATTCATGAGGTATAGGGCGGTTTTTCTTCTTCAAGTTTCTAGTTATACATTATGTCTCAACAGCACGATACTCACATGTTTAAACCTAACCTCAATAATGTTAACCTACAATATGTCCTGCAATATGGGGATATAAATTCCGCGAATTCGCTTGTTCTCCCACATTTAGATCCTCTACGTGCTACCATCCAGACCAATACAAATGATTGATGTAAATTGATAAAACTTGTATCATAGGTGTAGTAAAATAAAAGATTTTTATTTATTTTGTGAGTTGTCTGACCTATCTTTATGTTAGTAACAATTGGGCTCTGTTTTTCAGTGTTCAATGCCATTGTGCGGATGTGTCTGACCCAGGTGGCGCCAGCGCTTCATCAGGTGATAGGGCTACCCCCTATAACTGACCTACAGAAACCCATTGTACCTGCCAGTAATAACAAAAAGTGGGTGAAAATACGTGTTGATGTGAAAATCTATCTGACATATTTATTGAAGGTAAGTACTGAAATATTTTCAAGGTTTTATTAACGCACATCTATCTTTTGACTGTTTTTTTTATTCATGTTGAAATTGAAATTTTCCATTTGCTTTGACCAGACATATGTTAATATCATTATCTCTGAATAGAAAATTGCGATTTTTTTTTTTTTTTTTTTTTTTTTTAAATTTTCAAAAATTTGTCTGACACAGCAAATAGCCTGATTTGTGTAATACTGTAGAATATTCTTAGAAAATAGGGTTATTTGTTTGAACCTTTCTATTACATACGTTAAATATTCTTCCTGTCATCGTTAGAAAGTGTTATTTGTTTAATATCAATATTACAGAGAATAAAGTTCATATCCAATTAAGACACCCTTAGAATAGGGTCATATGTTTGAATCTTTCTTTTTCCGATATCAGCAATTCTTTTCTTTTTTACCATCTTCATTGTAGTTCGATACTTTTATGACTACCGTTATTTAAAATGTGAATCTTCCCATGTTGTATTGTTAGCTCACTGGGTCCAGACTTCTTGTTAATTATAACCACTGATTGGAATTCAAATAAATTTGATTTGAAGCGTCCCTAGGTGGTGTGGATTCAAAATTGTACAAATGGTTGGGCTGACCCCCAGGGGGCTGAGGGGCGGGGCCAAAAGGGTCAATTTGCCATATTGCTTTAAGCGACTTCTTCTCTGGAATTAGGAGATGGATATCAACCATATTGGACTGGAAGCATCCCTAGGTGGTGGAGATTCAAAATTGTTCTAATGATAGGGCTAACCCCCTAGGGGGCTGAGGGGCAGGGGCAATTTGGCTATATTGCTACAAACGTCTTTTTCTATAGAACTATACTTAATATCATTCATATTTGATGAAAAGCATTCATGGGAAGCAAGGATTCAAAATTGTACAAATGGTGAGGCTGACCCCCCGGGCTAAGGGGTGGGATCAAAAAAGTTTATTACTTGGAAATGGTTGAGATCCCCACCATATAACCATACATACAATTGCTGAGTATAAAGAGAAGAATTCACATTTGCTTCCAGGATGGCCCTAGGGTCTGGCCCCACCAATGGAGACAGTCTCTGGGTCATAACTTTGAAACGGTTGAGATCCCCACCCCAAAACTATGTATACAAATGCTGGGCATAAAGAGACAAATGTAGTCATGATATTAGAATAGACCCAGGGGTCTGACCAAACCCCTAGGGACCTAGTTTTCTTAGTCACAGCTTGGAAACAGTTGAGATCCCCACCCTATAACCATATATACAATTGCTGAGTGTAAAAAGACGAATGCAGTCATGTTATTAGAATTGACCCCAGGACCTGCCCCACCCTTGCAGACTTAACTCTTGGGTCACAACTTTGAAACAGTTGAGATCCCCACCCTAAAACTATAAATACAAATGCATGGCAAAAAGAGACGAATGCAGTCATGACATTAGAATTGATCCTGGGGTCTGACCACAACCCTAGGGACCTAGTTTCTTAGTCACAGCTTGGAAACAGTTGAGATCCCCATCCCATAACCATACATTAAATTGCTGGGCATGAAAAATTCAATACAGATATGCTACAAGGATTGGCCTTGGGGTCTGGCATATTCCCTTGGATCTCATTTGTAGAATATTTTGCCATGATTGCTTAAATATCCAGGTGACCGATACAGGCCCTCTGGGCCTCTTGTTGTAATTATCTTATCACCTATTGTGTACATGCACTACACAGTGTCATGGTGATGTCATTATGAAGACAAAAGACATGATGCCAGAATGGTGATGTTTAAGATTTTGTGCTGGTCACAGAAATTATGTTGAAAAAGGTATTGAAGTTGTCTCCCTTTCTTTCTGAATTAGTAACTTATCAGATCAATATTAATTCTTACTTTTGTTTTCCAGCTGGTGAGTGAGTTGTCAGAAGCAACCATGATCAACGTGATCCTGAAGCATATACACAAACTGGTCGCCTTTTATTCCTGTTTTCCAAAAATAGCCAAGGTCATGCTCAAGGTTAGAGTTTTGCTAATATTGTAGTAAATCCGAATTGAGTTAAGCCTTTCTCATTACTGGAGTCTGAAAAGATGATATTCTGCTGTACATTAATGTCACTCTCCAAAGCTTGATAAGTTGAAATCTAGACATTGAATTTAAATTCTTTCATAAAGAAAGTTTTTCATTTTGACTCTTGAAACTAATAGCAGTGCAGTAATACTCATGTTAGCAATAGTCCAAAATGTTAAATGTTTACATTAATTTCCACACTGAATAATTCACTCTTGTGCAGAAGGATGCTTTCATGGTTTTGGTTCCATTTGGTATATGATTCTTTTACTGTTAAAAAACAAATAGAACTTTATCTTCCATGAACTATATGTAAAATTTTGTTTCAGAAAATGATCTCTCTATGGAGTACTGCAGAGGAGACAACACGAGTCATGGCATTCTTCTGTATCAACAGACTTATACACATCATGCAGACCGCTCTCCTTGACATGTGTGTTAAGGTAATCTGTTAACTTCATTCTGTATCATTTAACTTGAATACGTTATGGTGACCACTCCTCCTTGAAATGTGTGTTAAGGTAATCTCTGTATCAGTAAAGTCAAACACGTCGTGCAAATCACTCTCCCCTCAACATGTGTGTCAAGGTAATCTCTGTAAAGTTAATTCTGTATGATCAGTAAACTTGAACTTGAACGCATCCTGCAAACCATTCTCCTCAAAATGTGTATCGAGATAACCCCTCCAATTCTGCTCTGTCCCTCCAATTCTCATTCTTTGCTTCATTGATTTGACTTCCATCTAGTCGATGTATTATAAGGCTTTATTCCCTACCACTATATATTTGATTACCTGGTGCTAAGCACCATCCTGTTTTTACAGTATGCTTGATCATGAAATCTTTTAGCACAGCTAAATAAAATGTAACATGCTGGTAAATACATACAATATGAATTACCAAATGCCATATGAATCTTTATTTTATTTTATATATTCTTTTCTTTGTTGTTGATCATGTTGATACCATTCCTATAATGAATACAAGTAAATAAATCATGAGGAACAACAGGTATTTCAAAATCAGGTTAGAAATATGATTGCCAGGTTAGAAATATAGAAATATGATTGCCAGGTTAGAAATATGAATCAGTATATGATTATGATACAAATGTAGCACCAACCCTGTGATCTATGACATTAATATATATTTTATATTTTCTGTTCTAGCAAATGTACATAGCCTACGTGAAGAACTGTAAATTTACTTCACCCTCAACACTCCCGATGATCAACTTCATGCAGCGCTCCCTGGTGGAGATTTTTGCTATTGATGTTGTACGGGCGTACCAGTACGCGTTTGTTTATATCCGACAGCTTGCAATACACCTGAGGAATGCAATCACAACCAAAAAACAGGTACAACTTTTAAACACATTCCTTATCTTAATATTGATTTATTTGTTATGATACCTGGTTCTATATCCATCCTGACCTTATTATAATATATAAGGATTATAATATATAAGGTCAGTATCAGCAAATTACATAGAGAGTCTTGATTGAGGGGTCAATATAATTTCTCTGATTAAAGGTCAATGTATTGGTTATCAACACTTTGATACAACAACAAAGCTGTTTGTTATATGTATTGCAGGAACAAAGCTGATTGATATATGTATTGCAGGAACAAAGCTGTTTGTTATATGTATTGCAGGGACAAAGCTGTTTGTTATATGTATTGCAGGAACAAAGCTGTTTGTTATATGTATTGCAGGGACAAAGCTGTCTGTTATATGTATTGCAGGGACAAAGCTGTTTGTTATATGTATTGTCCCTATGGAGAAAGCTGTTTGTTATGTGTATTGCAGGGACAAGGCTGTTTTTTATATGTATTGCAGGAAAAAAGCTGTTTGTTATAGGTATTGCAGGGACAAGGCTGTTTTTTATATGTATTGCAGTGACAATGCTGTTTGTTATATGGATTGCAGGGGCAAAGCTGTCTGTTATATGTACTGCAGGAACAAAGCTGATTGATATATGTATTGTCCCTGGGGACAAAGCTGTTTGATATATGTATTGTCCCTTGGGACAAAGCTGTTTGCTATATGTATTGTCCCGAGGGACAAAGCTGTGTGTTATATGTATTGTCCCTAGGGACAAAGCTGTTTGTTATATGTATCGCAGGGGAAGTTCAGATATTTACATTGACTGCACTGTTATAACTGCAGCATCATCATTATTTATGATTATTTTTGCGTAGATTTTGTCGTCAATAACATGTTGCTGTGTTTCTGTTATAGGAGAACTGCCAGGCTGTATATAATTGGCAGTATGTACACAGTCTGGGCCTATGGGTGAGGCTGTTAAGTGCCACCCATCCCAACCCCGTTCTGGAGCCCCTAATATACCCCCTTACACAGACGATCATAGGCACCATCAAGTAAGTATCTGCTAGTCTCCGACATCTATAGTTATAACTATTGTAACATATCCTTTGGGTTATAATATAAATCTCTTTCTATCATGCAAGGGGGGTTGGGGTGGGGGAACTTACCCCGACCCCACAGTATGAGATACTGAAACTATGTTTTTTTTATTAACAGTAAACGTTTTATCATGCTAGGAGATGGGAAACTTTAAAATATGAATTTTATAAATGAAGGTAGTATGAGATACTGGTCAATGTATATTTCTATTGACAGTAAACATGGAGATTTAGATGATATATTCACACATTTGGTTTTGTCTTTAGACTCCTCCCTAACTCCCGGTTTTATCCACTGCGTTTCCACTGTGTTCGGCTGATGACAAGTCTGTCTCAAGCGACGTCGACCTTTATCCCAGTGTTACCATTCCTGCTGGAGGTGAGTCGACCAATTTATTGTCACAGGGAATCTGTAGGGGTGGTAGTAAACATAACACAGGTATCAAGTTCTGTGTATACGTAATGTACAGATACCTGATATACAAACAAGACACAGTAAGGCCAAACAAAATTGATAACTTGGTTCTCAGGCCCACGCGCATTTCATGGCACCGTGCGCATTGCCAATTTTATCGTGAAAGTAATAAAAAAAAAATCATGAATGCGCCAGCCGCCATCTTCCGGAAAATTGGTCAGCATGTCGTTTTTACTCGTTAGTCACCCAAGTCCCAAAAAGTTTGAATAACGATAAGGATTGAGATACAGGCAAGCGTTTAAATGATTATAACTTATTAGTCTTGTGTACAAATGGCGCTCATTTCGGTACAAATAAGGAATGGGGGGTTCGTGATTCTCGTCTGGAACATCGTGGGGGGGATTTTCGGAGGCTTGCTCTATGACGGGTCTCTACACAACTATAAAAAGACAAGGTAATGCCCACAATGAAAGTTTTACAAACTACACAATAAAAAAAAAAATCGCCCTCTCGTTTTTGCCATGTAAAACGAAAGAAAAAAAATACTGCCCTGCCGCATCTATTTTGAAAAAAATTGGCCTGAGAACCAAGTAATTAATTTTATTTGGCCTAATAAAGATATGAAGTACTGTAAATATACATATTTTAGTTGTAGTCTTATTTAAGTGCTTTTCACACCTCAATACTGTGCTAAATTATGAATGAGCCAATTGATGCCATTGTAAATTGTTCTCAATTGCATAATTTTTGGGGGTACAATAATTCATCAATGCGCTAATCTGTTAAAATTTGATAATGCGCTAAAATTTGAGGTCGCTGAAATAAGTATGTTTACAGTATACAGATCACATATACAGACACATGGTATATTGGGTGGTCAGGTGACACAGTGAATAGCGCAATTGCCTTTCACCAAGGCGGCTTGGGTTCGATTCCCCAATCGGACATGAAANCCCACGCACGCTTACATCTGGGCCAACAAGAGTTGTTAGTTGTATAAGTTGTAAAAACTTTTTTCATAATTGTGGTAAAATAAACGAAATTTATATTATATACACTTGGTATCAATAGTCAAACCTGCTGATACAACCAATTCCATTAAGGGACGATCTGCCTACAGAGATATAATAAATATTCCCAGTTAAGTGATTGAAACAGTATTAAGAGACTACATGAGTTAAGAGACCCCTTTTTGGACTTTCCAAGGGTGTTCTCTTGATACATGTTTGTCTGTGAATACTAGTTAGCAAGGATATGAAAATAAGTTGATTCACCTTAAGCTGTTACCTATCAATCTATTCCATATAACCCTCAGTTCCTGTGCAATAACACAGTTGTATCTGAACACTTTCACTATTAGAGAACATCTCCCATGTTGATTTTTTTTGTGACAATTAGCTGATTGTTGTGTTAAAGTTGTGTAATCAACTGCCGCGGCCCCTATAGCTATTACCCAAACTATGTAATTCATTACTATTAATTTACCTCCTACCAAATAACTCTGAAGAAATTTCTGACCTGAAGAAATTTCTGACCCAGTTAATTGATCTTGTGTGTGCTGTTGGTGTCAACTGGTAAAACGTTCAATAATCATTTTACATCATGTTAGGCTGGGGACAGTTTGAGTGGTCTGATGGTGACTGTGTAGTAGATAACGCACTCGTCTTCCATTAAAGAGGCCAGGGTTCGACTTCCTGGTCAGACATGAAAAGATATCGTGTTGTCTGCCTGACCATGTTGGTTTCTCTAGGTACTCCAGTTTCCTCCCACACATTTGGACCAACAAGAGTGAAAAAATTGTAATAACTTGTTTCAAAATGGTTGTAAAATAAATAAAGTTTATATTTTATATTAGTTTGATACACAAGATTAACCTGTCAATGCAGTTTCAGGACTAGTCAATACAGATAGCCCGATAGTCTGAGACTAGTCAAATCTCCATCTTGACTAGTGGTACTGAAAACCACTAGCCCGATTAACGAGGCAAAATTTGAAATTGCTTATCCTGTTGAATAATATTGGAATTTGCACATGGACTAGTAAAAATTGAAAGTACTACCCAAATTGACCTGTGGTACTCAAAAATAATTTCTAGCTTTGAGTGCATATGTGAAGGGTCAGTTGACACTGAATAAAGATGGAGAATTTCTGTATGTATTTAGCTGGAGATTTTGGTTTTAACAATGGAAAAACATCTCAGTAGTGAAACATCATTATGCCACTGTCCATCATCAGACAGACTGAATGTACATTTTTTTTTTATTTAATTCTCTGAAATAAGTTGTATTCTTTATTGCAGGATCAGTTTTATTTTCATTCAGATATAATCCTATAATTTCCTCATTGAGAATGGAGTAAAAGTTACTGTAAGAGTTGTTTCCCTTGGAACAGAACTTAGCTGACATTTGGGCATGGCTTTATAGCAACTAATTCAGTGGAGTTTCAGTTGTGTGTTTCATTCTGATTGACAACAGATTACTTCGTTTTCTAAATACCACCGTGCCATATGCTTAAATGTCAAACGTTCAGGATGAAAGATTTTACTATGATTGTTCTGATGGTGTAATGCAACAATTTTACATATGTGTAGGAGGATTTACCAGTAAAATCAATAAACAGTATACAACACGAGTCAGGAGGACTATAGAGATTTATACTCCCCTCCTCAGTGTATGTAATACAATGTATAACAGATCATGCTTGCCAACTTTTTGAAATTTCCATGTGGGGATTACGTGTGCTCAGAATTAAAAGCATAAATAAAATGTGTGTATGTATGCCCAAGGGGAAAACAACACTTTTAAATGGCATTTTCAAGCTGTTCTTTCGGATGAAATCATTAGATGTTAGAATATAGGAATAGTTTAGCAAATTCACTGGTTGAAAATGCTCAATTTTCGGGTCCAAAATCGGGAGTTTCCTTCCAAAATCGAGAGAATTGGCAAGTAAGACAGATATGTATTTATACACTCAAATTGTAATCCGTCTGTCTTCTGGTGTTTTAAAATGTTGGTAAATATAATTTTGTTATATTTAGACATTAATTACCTTGACAATTGTTCCTGATAAAAGTTCTGTTTGATAAATTTTGAATTCGTTTGAAAGCAGTTACCAAATTATTGCTTTCAATATAAATGTTGAATTTTTTATAAGGACATGTTTATTGATGCTTGTTGCTGCAGTTATTGCCTTTGATGTTCTATAAATGTCCCTGGAATTGAAACGCTCGTTGGAAAAATGTTTTTTTCATCCCTCTTTAGGCTCAAGAAAATGATGAAATTGACTAACTTTGAAATGTCATTGTAAATACATTATCTCTTTTTTTGGGCAACATTGAGTTTGCAAATAAAATTACTGCAATCATTGCTTTGATAAAATATTGAATCAACAAATGAAAAATATTGTTAGTTACCCTTCATAGCAGTATTTGTTTGTGACTGTTTTGGTTGAAATATGGTTTCTGTACTTTAATTTGCATACATGACAAATATTGCTTTCACACTCAAACAAATGATACTCTCCAGACCAAAGAAGTGTTAAAGAATAGTACTGTCATACATATAATGTTTGGATCCTTTCTCTTCGATGTATGCGTCGTAAAATAGATGGAGTTTGTGAAATCTTTGTAAGCCAATCCAGTCAGTACCAGATGTAAGGATCATAGGCACCAGGCTCTCGGCTAAATTTAGTTAGAATGACTGACATCATAGTGTAGAATTTCTTTATCAGTCATGTTGACGTAGGCTGATGACAACACGAGGATAGGGTTTCGATGATGGATGTAAAAAAAAATGGAAAACATCACTTAAACAGGAACATTACCCAGAATAAGGACAAACTTTATATTTGATTAGTTAATGAGATTTAGGAAAAACTTATGACCCGCTTTTAAAGGAGGAGATAAAGAACCCAGTATAATTGTATTGTTTAGCTTTAAGGCTTTGTATAATCTGTTTATGGTCCATATAGATTTTAATAGAACATCAATCACAAACAAACTATGGACTTGTCTGCCACTACCAAAAATGGATATATCTAAATATATTATGATGAACTGACATAAGTGTTCTATAGTTCGTTCTCAAGACTGTATTGTGTACTTGAATTTCACATGAACAATATTTTCTCAGATCTGCTTGACACTATGATTGACTTGATAAGTATGGCAGAACACTGAACATACAAATTATAGTCTCCATGATGAATTACAAAGCAGCGCGGACAACACAGCAGAATCTCGCGTAAAGTTAACCCTTTCATCCCTTTGTAACTTTAGTAGACTTTACCATGTATTGATCTGGATGAGTCCATTATGTTATACAGTGGTGAAAAGGGTTAAATATATTCTTCAGAAGTAAACATAAAAAGTGTTCAACAAAAGAATTACACTCAACTGAAATACTGACAAAAGTCATCTATTTTCATATATGAAAACTTTTTTTTAAATGTGTGAAAATGGTTGCAAACCATATCATATGGATAATGAGCTGATGAACTCCTGTAACACCAGTGACATTTGGGTCTGTTGAATCGTGGTAAGCCTCCCACACCCTCCCCCAGCCTCCCCCACACAATGTCAGCGTCAGAAGCTTGGGCATCATAAAATGTCAGCTATTGATCATAAACACCATTATTCCTGACATATGGAAAATTTATCCTATTATTCTGCTCAATGGGAGAGCAGTTATTTCATTGTGTTATCCCCCAAGCTGTTTCATTGGTGTTTGACGGCTCAGCTTCCTGTTCAAGCAAGGAACTGGAGTAATTTACAATATGGATTTAAATTATTTATGATATAATGGAAAATGAGACTATTATGATGTTGTTTTTTTCCTCATCATGCAAAAAATGCACATAAAACTAATGCAGCAGACTTTTTTTTTTTTTTAAATCTGGATTTATTTCCACAAGTTGATTTCACCTGGGTTTTTGACTTTGAAACAATACAGGATAGAAATTCTTTA